AACTTCTGTCAGTCGTAACTCTCACTCCTTGTTTGTCCTCCATTAAGCAAATATCATTCCAATCTCCCACTAAAAACCAGGTATCTCCCCAAGAGAGCTTATCATCTTCTAGTTCCAACCATTGAGATTATCTAGTGGCCTTGTCAACATTCAGATACACAAAGACACCCCATCCTTGGTCCACATTATGAAGCTTATAGTGGACTGCAATATAAAAGTCTTTAGAGAGCAATTGAACTATTTCCAAATTCTAATGCCATAGAAGCAACAATCCTCCACTTAGGCCCTTAGGATCCACAATAGCATTCATACCCCAGCTTCCTACTGATAGGTTTTACATAAGTGTTTGAATTTTTAGTATCTGAAAGAAAAACTTTGGGTGGTGAGTCCTAAAAGACTCTTTGATTTGGGAAATTGTAGAGGGCCCACCCAGCCCTCTACAATTCCACAATGGAGCTAACATTTATTATTTGGGTGTCACTCTAGGCTGGCATCTCCGACCTTCTCAACTATCAATTTGGTTTTTTTCTCTGAAGCTTGCTTGATCACCTGATCCTCCTCTTCATCTTTGTCATGATCTGTTCTGTCTCTTTTGGAGCCTAAAGCAGAACCTTCCTCCATAGAATGATGTGATTGCCTCTGGATTCTCCCTGATTTACTAGCTGATCTCCTCCAGGTAGAAATCTTCGCAATTGCTAGCTCATTTTGTTTCTCATTAACTGGTAAAGGACTAAGGTTCCCAAATAGGGTATGAATTGTAATTTCAATCTCCATCAATCTAGTGTCCTCCTGGGCTAGGAGAGAACTAGCAACAATGTCTAAAGCTTGAGAGGGTTGAGAGGAAACTTGTTCAGATACAACTAGCTTGTTGGAATGTTGAGTAGTCTGGGTATCTGAGGTAGGAGCTGCTGTGTCATGGTGACAACTGGCTGACTTCTTCTCCCTCAAATGGTGGACCTGTTGCCTCTCTCCCTGAAGTTCAGAAGAGCTAGAAGGTTTATTATTCATACCAGCAGTTGAGGTTTGCCTGGGAGGAGTGGATTGCCTTGAGCTCGATGGACTATAGCTTTGCCAAGACTGTCCTTCCTCCACTTTGAGCCATTCCCCATATTATCCATCTTTTAGTTTGTGTGTCTTGATGTCTAGAAGTCTTTTCTCGCAGCATCTGTCTAGGCCACAATAGTAACAGAAGTTGTAATAACCCAGTGTATTATTAATAAATGCGATGTATTTTCATAATGTTCATTATAGCTTCCAGTCAATAAATTCGATTTTTCGTCGAAAAGTCTATTTGGTTATTTATTAACCAAGATCATTTCAATAATTAATGTTCGAACCATTTATTTTATAAATGGATATTATGTCTTGGGATTAATTATTCGAAGATAAGTTCATGATAAGTACGAATTAAATTTCGAAATCAAGTTCATCACTCGGAAATTCAAGTCTAAGCTACACGCACGCACGTCGTGCGTTATCGTGCATGTGCGTGGGCGCACATAGCATTGTCGTGCGCCATGCACGCATGTCGTGCTTAAGCCCCCGTCCATGGTGAGCTTAGGTACTAATAATCATAAGATCATGTACAAGTAAACTAAGTCTTAAACCATAGAGAGTTGCCGTGAAGATTTGCTTTAAGTAAGTAAATTATTGCAACTTGCAATCCTTGTCACCTAGTAGCTTAGTGTACATGGCACAAACTTAGCACATCATGCGATGACTAAGCAAATTCACATGCCATCTAGCTCTTTTAAGTGCCACCTCAAGACGTGACTAAGCATAGTAAAAGCCACAGATGAACATGGTTAAAACATGTGGCGTTACTTGGCTAAGTCATCACCATTCACCTCCCTCAATTATTCTATTTAAATCAAGTAGTAGACGTGAGTTTTCTCATGCAAACATCACGCAATTCTCATGTAAAACCGAGACCAAGGGTTAGCTTATATTGAGAGAAAAAGTTAGAAAAATACTGAAGAAAAAGGAGCCTTTATTCGGCCATAACCAAGGAGAGCATAAGGACATAATCAAGTACATTACACTAGCACGTGCAAGCCTTGCCTTCCCTCGTGCGTTTCACAAGCAAGTTGAAGGATTGATCAGCAGCAACACTTACATTTTCAGACTAGCAGTTTAGGTGGGGACTCAGACTGAGTATTATATTGATTATAATTACTTTACCATGTTTAAGGTATGTATAGGAGTTATCCGCTTTGGGTCTTGAGTTCAGGTGGAGGCGCAGTAGCCTTAATTGTCCATCAAAGTGTGCACATGGTTACGGACATAGTGTCTGAGATATTCAGTTTAGTTACTGACCTAGTGTCGGGAGATTACAGTTTACTTATATATACCTGCGATCATGATATTGATATCATTATTAATGTTTACTTTAGTATGAGTTTTTGCGGTACTTTCCTTTTCAGGTTGCAGGGTCGGTCCTGAGGAGTGAACGGAGCTGGTGGTCATGGGTTTATTTATAAGGGTGTTTATATAGACTTTTGGACATGTATATATATATGTTGCCACGTTTTGACTTTCCGCTGACACTTTCAGGTTTACAAACTCGCATGTTAATATTCAGGTTGCGTTAGTCAGAGTTTATACAGTTTTACATGCCTGTTTGGCTAAGAAGTTCCGTTTTTCTTAATATTTTTAAATTAGAAAAGATAACGGATTTTTAGAAAAGAAATATTTCTCAGTAGCACCTTGAGTCATGATTTCGCATGTTAATAAGTATTTTTCAGATAAGATTTTTCCAAAATTTAACTCTGATTTTATAAGTTAGCGGGGTGTCACAATTGGTATCAGAGCACGTTTTTTGTGTATCTGAATACTTTATTAAGTCAGGAAATTTTCAGAAAAACCAACCACGCTACGCTCACACCTCGCCGACTACCAGGTAAGTGCCGAGTTACAGTTTATATATACCTAAGCAAATGCTTAAGTCTATGCTCAGTAGAGGGTATCATATATTTAACCTTAGAAACCAGTAAGATTCTCGAGTTATTGATAGAGTTTTTTCAGAACATAAGTTGATTGTCCCAGTTATTTGATATTTCGACTCTAGTTTTCTCAGGTTAATTTTAGCAACACGTCAAGAGATCTGTGCGCATTAATAATCAGTAAAAGTATTTTATCATGTTATAATCTTGCGTCTGATTATGTTGATAATTTCAATACTCAAATGCTGCCTCGTAGAGAACCAGGTCATCAGGAGGTCTCCCAGGCCACAGTAGTCGCACAGTTTCGCAACTATCACCGAGAAAAGTTCTCCGGCCAGGGAGATCGTCGTTTCGTGGAGGAATGGGTCCAAGGCCTTGAAATGATTTTCGAGGTCACGGACAGTCCAGACCGCTATCGTGTTTTATGCGCACAGCTTCAGCTGACCGGTGATGCTCGACTCTGGTGGAATGCTTACTGGAGTATGCGTCCCGGTGAAAAGGACGGTTGTACCTGGGACAGATGTAAGGAGTTGATTCGTGAGAAGTACTATCTCACGTATTACCGAGCAGAGATGGAGCGTCAGTTCCTGGCGCTCAGACAGGGTACTCGTTCTGTTGACGAGTACGAGAGAGAGTTTACCCGACTCGGGGCCTTTGTTCCCGATCTAGTGAGTACAGAGGCGAAGAGAGCTCATCGTTTTACCGACGGACTTCTCCCAGCAATTGTCACAACATCGTAGGTCACGGCGTTCAGACCTACGCCCACACACTCCCCATTGTCAGGATGTGGATGCCAGGATCCGACGAGAAGCTATTCCGACTCCAGCCCAACCAGTTGCTCACCACCTGCCCAGCCCAACTTTGTCCAACTACCAAAGAACAAGAACAAAAGGAAGCTCAGAGGGGGCCCAGATGATCGCAAGAACCGCCAGAGGCAGCAGCCACCGATACCAGCTTGCTCCACGTGTACACAAAGTCACCGC